CATAAACAGAACAATATTACTATAGGCAAAGCAAGAAAATACAACCAAACAGAAGACACAATCTCTATAACATATTGACTAATCAACTTTGATACCTCATATACTCATCTATACTCTTCAGTTAACTATATCTGTAAACAATGCACAGAGTGCTACCTTAATTCCAATCGTATACAAAACAAATGCATATTTAATATTTCTATCAACTTTATAACCAAATTTCTAGGCAAAAAAGTTAACTTCAATTTCTCTACTACACTCAATCTTTATGCAAATCTACTTGACCTATTATATTCTATCGCACTATGAAACCCTACTACAATACTTCTACAACCTAATATCATTATATACTAGGATAATGAAAACTATTAGCAGTCCGAAGGACTATATATTAATATATAAAAAATAATTAGTATATTACTTATAGAAAAACATTCATCTAATTGGCTGATAATTAGCCAATTAGATTATATAATTTAATTGAACAAATTTATAATACAAACAAAACTTTATATTACATGTTAGAAAAACTTATCTTCTATTCTTTATTTATAATTGAGTAGAGATCATATTTTAACTATTACAACTTTTGTTAGAAATGCTATTAGCTTTAAAATATATTATCAATTAAGCAATATTCTAAATAAATTTTTCTAATTGTTATTTATATTTGTATCTGTCTAAGAAGAAACTCTATTATTTATTTATATAAATTCTTAAATAATTTTATTTTTCAATTATTACAATCATTGCACTGCTATTTTTTATCTATACTATTGTAAAGTTATATTAAATCTACTAAATGCAAAAGTAATATAAATAAGTATTAGAAATATTAAAAAAAGTAGTTTAAGCTTAAATACAATAAGTTAACAGATTGTAAGAATTGTTTTTCAAATCTAAATTTACTTTTAACATCTTAATTGTTTTTTTTTTGATTATTTTTTTACATTTAGTACTTGTATATAGTTTATATATAGTAATAGTAATAAATAGCATTATACTTGCTTCTAAGTAAAGTTCTTGAGAATGTTGATTATTTTTTGATTATTTGCACAATAAATATAAGTGTTCTTTTGAAGCTAGAAATGGTCTTTATGATGATTTTTTATTAGTAAAATGTTATATTCTCCAAAAGTACTTTAAACTATATAAATAAGTTATTATAATTGACTAATTAGCATTCAAGATCAGATATAATGTGAAATCAAACTATGTTTTTTAAAACAAAATATATATTAGTTTAAGGTTAAGGTCTAGGATTTATTAGGTTAACAAAAGCATTAACATTAACAAAGTTTTTAATGTTAACACAAAGTTTTGCAAGCAATTTTTTTTGTTAAAATGCAAAAAGTAATTTCATAATGATAAGCAAATTTTCAATTTTTAAAAAATCATGATTTTCACATTATATCTGGCTTAAAATTTGATTGGTCGATTATGATAGCGATACATCACACTGGCAACTTATGTAATTATTAAAATTATTAACATATTCAAACTTAAAATTAAAATAATATATATATATTTTATAACAATATTTAATCAAATTAGATTATAGTAAATTAGATATAAAATTTTATTTTAATTTTATTTTATTGTTAACTTCTAATCAAATCATTACAATTGCAATAAAATATACATTTTGCATATTACAACTGAATCCAATAAATAGTTTAGCATATCAATATCTTTTTAAATTCCTGTTTTTTTGAATTAATTGTATAGAAAAACTGCATATATAAATTACTAAATGAATATGGAAGTCACAACCAATAATTCATCTGATTGACCAAATTTTGATAGAAATAATTGATGAATTTTTACTAAAATCACCCTAAATTTTACAAGTCACCAGATATTAATTTTACTATAACAAAGTTGGTAGGTATTATTACTTGATGCTAAATTTTAGTTGTGTAACTAATCTATATCACAAAAATAATTTTTCTATTATTCTAATACTGCTATGAAGAAATAAAAAAAAATTTGATGTAACATAGAATTATTATATTCATCTTAATTTGCATAAATTAATCAATAATAAATATATATCTACATACATACATTTGCGAATTCAATTCATTTTTGAGCTTACAATCACTTCTAGTTTTTAAATATATACCAAAATAAAGTTTGAATCGCATAATACTCTAAACTACTATGATTTTGGTTTATTTATTATAACATATGTACTAGTTTGACAGACCAAATTGACTAGAAAACTTTTGGTTGACAACTAATTTACCCAACACTGCATGTAATTTGCTTACAAAATTTAAAATTTGCTAAATTTTACTAAAAATTATACTTTTAGGTAAAACTTAAATATTAAATTTATAATAATCAATTTTAAATGAATTATGCCAATGAAATATACATCAAATTTCTCTAGAATTTAATCTTATCTCTAACTCCATTCTACTATACAAAGTTGTTAATTATTGCTATATTAGTAATGTGATGCCATTATAATCTTAAAAAATTTTTATATAATATAAGTCAAATATGAACTCGATGAGTTTGTCTAAAATGTAAAACTCAGAAAAATAAAGTTATATACATGCATAGATGTGCTAAAAAGTTTGACCAAAATAATAAACAAAATCATTTAGCTGGCATTTAACTTCAAATATATATAATCACTATTTCTTCATCTTTAATTTCTTTATTCTGTTTTTGCAAGGTCATTTTTAATACATAATTTTGTATCCCTATAATGTATATTATAAAATAATTAATAATTAAAAAAAGTAAAAAATAATTAAAATAAATAATCAATCACAAAGAATTTTACCTAATATGCCTTTAGTGCAAAATGAAAATAATAATGAATATAATTCCCACAGACATAAACAATGCAAAAAAATAATGCATAAAAAACATGTATTGGAATTTGATGAGCAGGTAAATAAGAGACACCTTAAGGATGTATCAAATAAATATAAAAAATATGCTCTAGAAACCACTAAAGAATGCCATGATCGATGTCAAAAAGAATCAGCATGAAAAAGACAACAAAGATTGAAACAGCAGGATACATCCATCTCGAATGCAACAGAACAGCATGATGAATTAAACTTAAATACAACAGAACAGCATGATGAATTAAACTTAACTACAACAGAACAGCTTCCTGTATCTGACCAAAAGCTTCTATGCAACTTTAAAAATGCAATAAAAAAACTTAGTAACAAACTATGTAGTATATGCAATGAACAATTTCTATTTATTAAGATTGTTCAAGACCAATGTTGGCATTGTTATCATGATAAAGGAACAACCAAAAAGTTTTTAGCAGAAAATAACATGGATCAAGATATAATGCTTTAATATAATAATAATAATAATAATAATAATAATAATAATAATAATAATAATATTTTTTTAGGAGATGTCCCTTAAGAACTTCAAGATCTTACTGAAATTGTGGAGATGTTAATTACTCAAGTCTTCACCATCATATCAGTTTACAATTTGTGTAGAGGCCAGTATGCATATTGTGGAAACATTATCAACTTTCCCTAAGATGTACAAGGATTTGCAACTTGTCTTCTTCATCATCTAAATTTAATAAATATGCTTGTTGTATAATGGTATTCTGTTAATAGATCAAGTTTTTGTGATTTTTAAGTCTGTCGAAAGAAAGTTTCTCAAGCTCTATATTGGCTAAAAAAAAATAACATTTATTATCATAATATTGAGATTTCTAATAATATATTATTATTCTTATCTGAAAATGGTTCAATCATAGACCAACTTCCACAGATCCCTTGTGACCATTCTCAAGAAAATGAAAGTATGTTAGATGAACAAGCAGAAGTTTTAGCTATTGATAAAAATGATGAAAATGATGACTTTATTTCACAAACCTTTGTTCCTGTACTGCCAACTGGATTTAGTAAAAATGATGCAATTAACAATATGCTAAATCATATGCAGAAAATGGTTATCAAAATAAAAATTCAACAATTAACTAGCTCCATACTGACAAAAATCCTATAGATGAGTTTTATACAGTAGGATATATGGCATGAGCGTTTTCTACACTTTTCTCTTAAGGCATTGCTAATCTTTATGCGCATCGAATAAGAGAAGTAAAACCAGCTGAATACTTTCAACATCTCTCAAGTATAAAGATAGTCACTTTGTTCATCATTCGCACTGACATTACTTTGCATTAAATTCCTTAATGCAATGGAGAGCATTAGCAAAAAGACAAATATTTGTTAAGCAAAATTTAGAAGAAGGACGACTCACTACAGCAGAAGTTCAAGAATTGCAGCAAAGTAATCCACATTTGGCAGACAGAGTAGTAAGATATGGTGAAGTTTGCATGATACCCATTAATATTGGGCATGATGTCATGCTGAACTTTCAGACATGATAAAGCAATTAGGCTCTCAAGGAATGATGTTCTTTACCTTTAGCACTGCAGATATGCACTAGCCAGAACTTTACAGTTTAATGCCAAATAGCATAAATGTTGCTGAAGAGACTGATCAAGAAGCTAGAAGGTGTACATGTAAAGACCTTATAGAAAATTCACACATCACAGCATAGTTTTTTGAGAAAAGATTCAAAGTTTTTTTTGAAAAGGTTTTGATTCAGAAATAGGAACTGGTTGATTGGTGATATCACTTTGAATAGCAGCACCATGGAAGTGTTTATGTTCATGAAATTGCAATTCAAAAAGAGGCACCTAAAATTCAATGGGAAAGCATAAATGTAAACTAAGAGCATATGAAAGAAATAGTATATTACCTAGACTCATTAGTCACAACTATTAATCCAGGATTAAATGCACCAGTACCAGATCATCATCTATGCCAAAAATGGCCTACAGAAATTGATGATGGGTTGCAAGACTACATAGAGCTTATAAACAAATTACAATATCACACATGTTGCAGTGCTTCATACTGTTTAAGAATTAATAAGCAAACCAGTCAACAATCTTGTAGATTCAGTTTTCCAAAAAAACTTAGTGATCAAACTACTGTTTAACTTGATAAGCATGATCATCCAGAGCTTATTACAGCCAGAAATGATCCTCTAATAAACCCACATAATCATCTTCAACTCCAAAGCTGAAGAGCAAATGTTGACCTTAAATCTGTACTTACAATTCATGCAGCTTTACAATATGTTTCTAAGTATGTAAGCAAGGCTGAACCAAGATCTTTGGCATTCTCTAAAATTTTAGATAGAGCTTTTCATAGTAATAGTCCTGATAATCCATCAATTATAGCATTTCAAAAATTACTTCTCTATACTGTAACAGAATATGATTATTCTGACCAAGAGACTTGTCATTTGCTTTTTGGAATCCCTTTTTACAAATATAGCCAAAACTTTGTTAATTTAAATCTCAATAAAGAAGCACCCTGCTGGCTTCATGGTAGTAGTGATGATGATAATAAAAATAATAAAGAAATCAATTATGCTAGAAAAACTGGGCTCTCGCCTTTACAGTTGTATTGGAACAGGCTAGTTGAACTTAGGGAGCTTTCACTTTTTTAACTGTATTTGGAATATAAATTTGTCAAAGAAAGGTAAATAAAATGCAATAAAACAAATATTGTACATGTTTGGCTATGCCTCTTACCTTTACAAAATGGCCCTCATTGGGAAGATTTCTGTCAGATAAAAGTTCTCCTTCATGTTTGTCACCAAAATCTTCAACAACTTACTAATAATAACACTCTATTATAAAAAGAACTATATGAATGCTATTAGCAAAAAATTAATTTATGTTCTGAAGATTTAATTGGTTTTGCTGTGAACAGTCCTAAAGAAAATTGTAGTGACAGTAGTGATAATGATAATATGCAAGAAACAAATAAAAATAATGAAGACTATGAAGAAAATCGACCTAGCTGAATGTCCCTAGCAGAGATGGGTTCAAGCACATCCATGCATTTTTTTTCTGATCTTGGTTTGCAGAACATTAATAGAGATTATGATTGGGTTGGTGATAGTCAAAAGCAGTACCATAACCTCAAGAATATTGATAACTTTATTAATGAAGCATGTAGTAATGTAGTGAACTTAAAGAGCAAAGATTTTGAAATAATTAATTGTAAAACTCTAAATGAGAAACAAAGAATAGTGATTAAAAGAATAGAATCTCATTATAATATGATTATTTCAGGCCAGCAAGTAGAATCATTACAAATATTAGTAATGGATATTGCAGGAACTGGGAAGTTATATCTTATCAAAGCAATTAGAAGTTGACTCTATGAGTTAACAGAACAAAATAGTTTACCTGAAAACAATTCACCAATATTAATAGTGCTTGCTCCCACTGGAGTTGCTGCTTTTAATATTAATGGCAGTATTATCCATTCTGTTCTCTCTATTCCAGTTGGTAGCAAGAACTTCTAGCAGATGAATGATTAAAATGACTTCAAAATAAATTACAAAATGTGTTATATATAATTATTGATAAGATGAGTATGGTAGGATGCCGATTTCTTGCTTTAATTGACTTATAACTTTACTAGGCCTTTCCAGACTGTCATAACATTCCTTTTGGTAGTCATTCAATTATCTTTATTGGTAACTTCAGACAACTACCTCCAGTATGCAATCTTCTGATGTATGCTAAGAACTTTTGTCCATCTGATCCCATATCTAAAGATGAATGTATAGTTTATAACCGAATTCAGGAAATTTACAAGCTTGATATTGTATAGCACCAAGCTGGGAATTCACTATCGTAGTGCCAATTTAGAAATATTTTCTTGTGTCTGCATAATGGTGAATCAACCCAAACAGACTAGGAAGAGTTGATGACACAGCTTTTAGAATGTTTACCTAGATCTAAACAAAAAACCTTTTCAAATGCAACTTGCTTATTAACAAAATGGAGTGATATTGATGAAGTTAATTACTACAAGCTTCATCTGCTAAATCACCCAGTTATCAAAATTCATGCTGTTCACAACAACAATAAGGCTAAGAAGGCTGATTCAGATAAGGCTAAAGGCCTTGATGCAAAGATACTACTTGCAAAGAGAGCACAAGTTATGCTTAATACAAATCTTTTGACTGCTGACAGTCTTGTCAATAGTACAATAGGAACTATTGAAGATATTATTTTCAAAAACATCTATACTTCTATTTTTTTTCTTAGTGCAGTCCTAGTAGCCTTTAACAAATATAATGGGCCTACTATTAGTACATTCGAAGGCATTCATATAGTTCCAATTGTTACTGTACAGTGAATATAGGAAGGTAAATACAGAATATGTTCATATATACAAATTTCTTTTTTCCTTGCATAGGCTATCACAGTATATAATTTTCAGGGTTTAATCTTACCAAAAGCTATTATTGATATTGGAAATAATAAGTTCGCAGCTGGCCTATCATTTGTTGCAGTATCCAGAGTTTAGTCTCTTAATGATATAATCTTCAAGCCCTTTACATTCAAGAGACTTCAATATATAAAAAAATGTAAAAGACTTTGTAAATGAATTTTTAAAAAAAAGTAATTAGTAAGTATAAGAACAGAAAATTTTCAAAGATTTGTTCATAATCTGAGACTTAGCTGTAAAAAAATATAAATAAAACTTATAAATTTACTGGAGTGTTTATTAACCAGACTTTCGATTACAACTGTTTTCATAAATTCTGAAATGTTCTTATAAATTCTGGGACAAAATAAAATTGCTCGTTTTCTGAATCTTTTTGATCTCATTCTAAGAAACACCTAATTTGAAAACTACAATGCTACTCTTATGACTTTGAACCAGAGATGGCAGTGTAATTTTCAAAATAGATTATTCTTAAAACAAGATTGAAGAGATTTTAGGAAATATGCAAAACCTTAATTTGTTTTAGAATTTATGAAACAGATAAAAAAATTGTCAATATAATTGAAAAATTTCTGATGTTGGCTGACTTACCAATTATAACTCGATAATTTGTTCCTTTAGTCATTGAAAAAATTTTGATTGTACAAAAACAGCTATAATTAATTGGCATCAATAACAAACTTTGGATATAAGAAATTGTAATACATTTAAATTTATATTAGTTCAGTATAGTTTTCAAAACAGCTCAGTAATTTTATGTAGCGAACCTCTTTTTTTCTTTCTAGACATTGATTCATTAAGATAACTTATAATTGTTGTTCATTTTTTAAATCATAAAATTTTATACTTAACTTCTATTGATGAATAATAAATTGTAGATTAGTATTAATATATAAAATTCTAATGAAAATATTTATGATTACATAACATTTACCTTTTTACCAAAAGTTGTTTTCTTGGAAAATGTTCTACTTGCCAATTGTTGATTTTATCTGAATTTGTATTCAAGCTATTTTGATTGTTAATGCATAAATACATAAGCTACTATTTATTGATTACTGCATTAACTATCTAATTTTTTACATGTCATATGTTTAGATTTGATCTACATTAGAACAACCAATTATATTAGAAAATTTGCTAACAGACGGACATTTGTATAACCCTTTTACTCAACAGAATAGTTCTTCGGACAATAATAATGCTATACCTGACATCTTTATACAAAATCAAGCTACAGAAATTCTTCAACAAATTATATACAACAACTCACACTACTCACAGTTTATATTTTATACTGATAGCTCTTTAAGCAATATTATTAATGACAAATGCAAAATGAGTATTGGTTAGATTCAAATCCAAGATGAGGCTATATTGCATCAATATTCAGCAGAAATTAAACTTTGGCCCTTATCATACAAAGCAGAACTTATAGCAATCCTCTCTGCTGTTAGCATATGCCCAAAACAGAGTACTATTACTATCTATACTGATTCACAATCAATAATTTCCAAATACAATAAGCTCATACAGTCACCACTTACACCTAACAAAATATACTTTTTTAACTACTGACCAATATGGCATATACTTCTAAACTTTATTACTGTATATCAAATTTAAATTAATTTCCAAAAAGTAACTACACATAGTAGTAATACACTAAATGACATAGCTAACAAACTAGCTAAAACCAAAACCAACCACACATACTTAGCCTTCTTCATACCAATATATACAATTCATCATATTACCTCTATTATGACAAATATGTCATAAAACAATCTACATATAGAACTATCAAAAACTTTAGTAATGCTTACAACATATCAATATGGTTCTCTCAACATCAGATGGAAAACATTCTTCTTCTATCCTTGCAAATTAACTGGAATGCTACCTGGCTTTTTTTTAACAACAATCACAAAAGATCTACATTTTATACTAGCTTTACTTTATGCCAAGAAAAAACATTCAAAATAAAACTGATGCTAGGAATACTACCTACATTATCTTATTTACATTCTCTTTATCTAACAACATATTCTAATCTTAATTGCATTTCATGCAATATATATGACAGTCAGCTACATTGGCTAACCTGTCCAAACTTACTTATACTTAACTTAACTATCACCAATATAATACAACAATTTTTTAATTATTCATAACTAGATATAACAACTATACAATTACAAGAACTATACAATAAACTTACTAACCATTCATGTCTCTTGCCAAACAATCTTATTAGAAATCACACAAATATATACACAACAATACAAGGCTTTGTTCCATTCTTACTAATTAATATTATACAAGAATACACAATTAGCAACTAGCTACCAACTAACATTACAATAAAATTTCTAATTAAATTATCACAAAATATCTACAACCAAATTTGGAAACCTTACTGCATCAAACTA